GGGGATTGAGAGATGAAGTCACCTGTTTGTCAGGGCTTTTCTGCTTCTTGAAAGAGTTTGTTTAGAGCCTCCTAAACCGGATAGAAGGGTTTGGTGCCCAAATTTTAAAAGTTTCTTTTCCTATGCCTCTTTCTAATGTTCTTTTCTAGTCCCTTATCCCTCTTTCCTTTCCTGATAAGGAAGTTTGGTGTCAACCAATTGTCCCTGAAATTAAGGCTTTTGTTGGGAAGTGACTTATGGGAAAGTTAACGCTCTGGATTACCTACAAAAGAAGAGGTCTTTTTTGTGTATTTCCCCAAACCGGTGCGCTCTGTGTAAATCTAATGGTGAATCGTGTTACCACTTCCTAATCTCCTGTTCCTTTGTTGTAGATATATGGGATTGTTTTTTCTCTTTGTTTGGGTGTAGGTGGAACATGCCAATGGAGATTAATATGTCATTTGATCCATCTACCTTTGCATGGCGAAAGAGAAAGGGAAGAAGTAGAGAAGCAAACAAGAAATTATGGACTGTGTATTGACCAAAGTTATACATTAGCTACTAACTTTGGATTTCTTTAGACAGTACTCCTTTGATGAGATTTGGAGGAACTGATTGTCAGTGGCTTCTAGTTCAGTACAGAAGCTGGTAGCACCTTTTTCAGGATTGGTGGGGAATGGAGACTCTGTAAGGGCTGAACTGTATGCAGTCCTGCAAGGTGTTCAGATTGCAAAAGAGATGAATTTGGAAAACCTGGTGATTGAAGGGGACTCCAAGGTGGTGGTGGGCTGGCTAAAAGATCCGGATAAAGTGATATGGTGCTATCAAGACGAATGAAGTTCGGATGGTTAACACAGCAGATGAGCTTGATTATACAATGGGTGGGGAAGCTTGTATCAGTTGCTTATCTTTTCTGATTTAGTGAAATTTTAAGGAATTTTTACTTATGAAAAAAAAACAATGTTATTGCCCGCATAACTTAGATGATTACCACTTTGAGCTAGCTCAATATTCATTTTAAAATGAAACATGAAGTTAAGTATTAGTTTGTGTTTGTGTAATAGATTATTTGATTGATCTATTACAACCATTTACATTTTCTATGAGTTCAAAGTTTGCTTTAACTCATCCTATCGTGAAGCTTTGAGTCTTAAGGTTTGGATCAAGTAAGTGAAATGTTGTTTCCTAGTGTTGAAGATATTGAAAGACATGAGGGTGAGGTATGGGAAGAGTCAAATGCTGTTTTGGATCAAGTAAGATTGGTGGGGGGAGGAGTTAAAAGTTAGTAAACTGATGGGAGTGTTCTTTTTGGGTGGGGAAGAGTTAGAAAGAAAAGCGTTTTTGGAGTTAGAGAGTAGAAGAAAAGAAGGTATGGATTAAAAAGAATTGGAAGGGGGGGGGGGTTGGAGAGTGAGGAGTTTGAAGAATGAAGAGGGGTGATTGCATTTTAAAGGAAAGAAGTAATGTGAAGGTTTGTTTGAGTATTGGGTCAAAGTTGTTGGACTGGCTACTGATTTTTCTAATGGTCAAAAGAATTGTTTGGGGCAGGTTATTGGGCTACTCTAGAATAGAACTGTTGGGGATGTTTTAGAAATTATTGTTTTTTTTTATCAATAACATCAGCTTCATTAAATTAAAAGAAAAGAGGGAATATGGATACGAGAGGGGAGATAAAAAATCTTAGCTCCCCAATAACAGAATACAAAGAGAAAAAATTAAAAACTAGCCCAAAATACAGACTCCCTATTCTCTCCTTGCTTGGCCAACCCATCTGCAAATGAGTTGGCATTCCTCTTCACCCAGCTGTACTGAATCTCAATGTCCCTACACAGCCATAAGAACTGTTTCTTTCCATTGTTAAAGTTCCACAAACCATTGTCCTCTTTCTTCAACCAGCTAACCACCACCTTCGAATCACCTTCCAGGATCAAACGGCTGATATTTAATTCCATTGCTCTTCGAATTCCTTCAAGTGCTGCAAGGATCTTAGCCCTAAGAGAGTCACCTTCTCCAATAGGGCTAGAGAATAAAGCAATAACAATCCCTTCCTCATTCCTGAAAACTCCTCTAATCCCAGAGGACCCCGGATTCCTTACACTGCTGCCATAAAAATCAGCTTTATAAAGCCCGATGGGGGAGGGGACCAAGACGGACAAAGAGTCCTCTTGCATTTAGCAGTGGAAGCAATCTCTTTCCAATTTCTTAGCATGTCATCCACAGGAAAGTCTGAAAACAACTCCAAAGATTTTAGCCAGTGGACAGCCCTTAAAAGGATTAGGTCTAACAGTTCTTCCAAGGTTCTTTCCTTGTCTGAAAAAATACGTGAGTTTCTTTCTTCCCACAATGACTAGCATACTGCTGCTCTAATACTCCTCCACATAGTCATCCCTTGCTTCTTAGGCCAACTGAAAAAAGGAGAGAACAAACCTTGGACACTCTCCAGAGGATACCAAGAACACCCAGAGCAGGAGAAAACCCACTCCCATACAGTTTTAGCAGCCTTACAAGAGACCATGAGGTGGTAGCCGGATTCCCCATCAACTTTACAAAGAGCACATCTATTAGGAAGTAGACAATAGTTTGGTCTCTTTCTCTGAAGTAAGTCAAAAGTGTTGATTCTTTCCAGGAAAATTTCCCAACAAAAAAAGCCAACCCGAGGAGGAATAGACCTGCTCCAAATTTCTTTAACCGGAAAGGACAACCCAAAGGGGATAGGAGGATGAGTTAAGGTTTCAAAGAATGAAGCACAAGAAAAAGTACAAAAGCTAGAAGGGGTCCAAAATCTGGTGTCTTCCTTAGCAGGATTTTGGAAGACATTCTCAAGGGAAGCTAGGAAAGTTACCAAGCTGTCCATGTCTGTATTCCTAATTGCCCTATGCAGGCCTAGGTTCCACCCAAAGCCAGAAGTGGAGTCTGAAGGTATAAAGAAAGAAGATATGGGTTCATTTTTCAAATGTGATAGAGCATACAAGGAAGGAAACTGGTCCTTCAGTGGAGAATCCCCGACCCAAAGTTGTTTTGGTGTTGAGAAATTTATGTATTTAGAGTTTCTTTTTTGTTGTTGATGTCATTTGTTTTGGTGATCATCACCCAATTTGATGCATTTTTTTATTTTAGTGAAAATTTCCTTTTTTATTTATTACCAAGAAAATGTAACTAAGCAACTCAATGATTTGGTAAATTTGCTAACAGACATGTGATTAATAGGAATTGAGGAACATATTGAACATTTTGTTAACTGAATATATGATTGAATTGTCCTATCTCTGAAACATGAGATGATGATTAGGAGTACCTGTCATGTAATCAGTCACTATAGCCATTGACCCATTGAAACTTGATAGACATAAGGCAGGTGGATCCAATACTTGACGTGTGAACTAGAGCAGCAGTAGATGCCTGTGAAGAAAACATGTGCCTCACATATTCTTCCTTAGATATAGCTACAGTCTCACTCAGGCTTTGCCAATGAAGTAGATGGCTGTGGCGAAGATGATATGCCATAATAAAGTAAATCTTCATTAGTCCACACTATGCCCTTCACGTCCACACAAATATGGATACCATGCAAGTCACTACAATATCCAAATCTAATATTCGTGGTCCTCCCATTACTATGACCTCCAGTAATATCAACATGACCTTACCATGACTACCACATCCACCTTTAAAGACCCCAACACAGCTATCCCTCCAGAATGCAAGAGTAGATTGAGCTACTTTTGGGGCACCTTTAGACAATCTTTTTTTTTTTTTTTTTATCAATAGACCTTTAGACAATCTAGCCCACTGAAGTCTAGAAAATACCTTATTGAAAGGTGGTAATTTAGGACTGCCCAAAATCTGTGACTGGTGGTTCATACTCTGGTTTAATTCTAGATAAAAGTCTCTTCTTTTCTTTTATGTAACCATAATAGCAGATGTGATGGGCTTATAGATATTCAGTTGTTCACATAAACTCAGTGTCTGAATAGTACTCAAGAGTCTTCTTCTCTTGTTGATGACAAAACAGGAACTGAAATAACAGATATATACATTTTATATTCTTGCTGCTTTTATATAATCTCCTCACTTCTCCCATCTCCATTGAAGTATTAATAAAAATTAAATTGCTGTTTCCATTGAGTATAACCACGTTTTTTATTGGGCATCCTCTTGAATTCCTCCAGAATTACTGGGACTCATGTTCTGGTTTCCTCTCAGTTAGGTGTTTCACCTTGCCTTTCCCTGTAAAAATACCTTAATTGATTTTTCCCAAATGGCATTGTTACTTCCATCCATTTTTGCGGAAGCTATTTTAATGGGTATATAATCTGGTGTCAGCATCATTGGAGGTTTTGATTCGATACTTATTCAAAAATGAATTCAGATTGACACAGAAAATTGGACACCAGAATTCTGGTTATATCATTCACTAATTGGTAAATGGGAAACCAGAGTCTCACTTATCAGTCACTCATGGTGCACCACTCTAAGTGCATGTTACAATGGGAAATATAACCCTATTTCAACATAAAACAAATCTGCACACTGACCTGTAACATAATGATCGATCACAGCACCATGTACCATTTTCACCTGTCACCTCAATGTTCACCACACAAACAAATCAAAAAGGTCTGATTTTCACCAAAATGTCCAGATATTCTTCTGTCTTTTCTATATTTTACATTTTTCACATGGTTTCATAAAAGTTTTAGGAACTGTTAATGATAAGAACTGTCTTTGTTGATGTAAGGAAATTATGAATAGTTACTTGCATAATTTTTATGTACTGTACATAAAATGAGTTCCTATTTAAATTATACATGATAAATGACTGCATATTAGTATTTAGATGTGTTTCATGCAGTGACCTACTTGGTCACTTATGGTAACTGCTTTGGTGGAGCACATGCTCAATAACCACTTGTATTTGACAACATATTTTTTATGATAGTCATGGAGGTTCCTATTTATAACAACCAGTAATTTGTTTGAATGTTTACTTCAAAAATTTTAACAGTTTTCTGTATTTACAGGTCAAAGCTTTGGTAAGCAAAATTCAGGAGCACACAAACTTTTGTATTGGTGAGCATTTAGACCAAATGTATTTATCAACTAGATTGCTGTTTCCTTTGTTATCAGTGGAGAAAAAAAAAGAAAAAACAAAGTATGAAAATTAAGGGCAATTACAATTATATGCTTGCACGTTTGGTTAGAGAAAAACCTTGATAAACTCTCATCCTGTCATTGGAATGTGTTCTGGAGTGGAAATGAGGTGATTATTTTCAGTTATTCTTCACTAATAGATTCTGGAGATCCAGTTGGAACAAAGGTGCTCTCCCTTCAGTGACTTTCAATTATCTTTATCCATGGGCTTTGAGAGACTCTCAGATGTACATACACAGATCTGGTTGGGTGGGTGAGGGAGAGATCAAATGGCCATTGATAGTAAAGATAGTTATCAGATCATAAAGGTTAAGCTTTTCTATACTAATATAGCCTTTTGTTCAAGTTGGCTGCAATACACATGAGCTAGATCATTTGTTTTTTGATAGACATGAACTAGATCATTGGTAGCTTAGCATGGTGTTGGCAATGGGGACTGGATTTTTTTGTCCTAAAGATGCCAAACTAGATGTATTTTTTGTATGTGTTTTACAGGGAGCCAATTATTGGGCTTGCATTGCGTTTGAATAGAATCCTGATCCCGTGACATTAATCAGTTGTGGGGTGTGGTGGTGGAACTGCTCTTTTGGGGAATAGCTCCTAACAAGAAAAGTGATTTTTTCAGCCAGTTGGATGGAGAAGGAATTTGAGATGGAAGAAATTGTTAAGGCTATGAAGGAGTTGAATGGTGACAAGGCACTGGGGCTTGATAAGGGGAATATAATTGCTTTAATTTTTAGGGCCTTTTGGGAAAGGAGACTATTCAGGCAGAGCTAATGGCTGCAGTGATTGGCTTGCAAAAAGCAAAGTAGGCGCTGATAAACTAGTTGTTAAAGGTGACTCCAAAGTAATTTTAAGCTGGCTTTTGGATGGAAGTAAAGCTAATTGGTGTTACAGAAATGAATTCAGAAGGTTTAATTGGATATAAAGACATATGCAAATAGAAATACAGTGGGTAGAAAGGTCTGCAAATGGCTTGGCTGTTGGTTTAGCAAAGCAAGGGGTTACTAGACATCAACCATATTTGGCTCAGTTGTAAGATCTGAGTTGGGGTGGGATAGCAGGGTCTATTGTTGTACTTCTTTTTCTCTTCTCTAATAATTTTTTTTTTCTGTTGCTGATCAAATAAATAAAAACAAAAAAAGAAAGAAATGATTTGCATTCTTAGATAAGAGGAGGGCGTCACTGCCAATAAGTTGAGTTGAATCCGGACTTTGGCTAAGAATCATTGTTTGACTACGACTTTGGTAGAGGAATTCAAGTGAGGCTAGGATTCATATATAAGTTTTAGGGTAACACCGGGATGAGTATCAAAAGGCTCCTAGTTGAATTGGGACTCATGGGGAGGAATCCTAGTTGTACTGGGACTGTAATATTGTCTCTAAAGGAGTAGGGCTTGTCCTGTAGTGTCCTAATTGAACTAATAATTTCTGATATGCCTGAGTGATCTTACACAGCTATGCTAGTGTTTGCCTTGAAAGATTTTCAATGCAAGAAACCAAGTTTCAGGTGTTTTCCCTAGTTGATGTATGACTTTGGGTGAAATCCCATTTGATAGTGATTGGTTCAGACGATGTCTCTTTATGTGGTATCCCAACTAGATTTTGATACTACAGTGCAAAAGGACAGAATTGTCATTTCACTTTGCATGAAGGGTCCAATGTGATAATTTCTAGGACTTTAGAGTGCTTAGAGTGTGTAGTTCAACCAGCCCAAAAGGAGAGTTCGATCTACACCATTGAGATGTTGGGTTTACAGTTAATTTGAGTGCTTCTCTTTGGTATGTTTTTACTTTCACATAGTGGCAGGGCAAGAGCTAGAAGGGATAGGAATTAGAGAGTATAACGTGGGTGATGTGTGTGTATATCGTGATTGAATTATTCAACTGAACTGTTGAGGAGAGGTTAGCAGTGGTGGTGGAGTTGAATGTTGGGGCTATTTAGGATGATGTGTTTTAATTATCTATAGAGTAAAGAGTTCCTTTTTGGTGCAAAGCTCTTTTTAAACTTGTATTTTCTTGGTTTTCTCTGTGTTGAAAAAAATTATATTATAAAAGATAACAATCGTGTACTCTCCCCATCAGAATTACTTTTACTGTATTCTGCACTCTTAAATATGCTGTCCATACCATTTAGTTGATTGTTTGGTTTAAATTGAATTTCTATATAATTAAGTGGTTAATCATGTTTATGTTTCTTTTTGACTCAGTGGTGGACACTGATGCACTGCTCAGAAAGGAAGTGTTAACTTTAGCTGAGGCCTTGAAGAGTGCTAACAATGCTGTTTTATTATGCATCAATGCTATCTCCATTCTTGTATCTGTAAGTTGCATCCTGAGGATTCTTTCTAATATTCTGAAATCTTATTCTTTTTAGTCCTTGATTTATACTTTTATATTGCTTTTGGAATTTGGAATTTACAGGAGAATCATATGAAACTTCTTGATGCCCCATGTAATAAAATAAAGGAGCTTAAAGTTGCTGAAGTGTTAAATGTAAGAGCACCATCTTCAATTGCCTGTGATTTATCTACCATATTATTTTAAAACTGCAAAATTTTGGATTTTCTTTTAAAATTATTATTTTATACTTTGTGGTGTTCTGGTTTTAAATGTTTAATTGACAGCATGACCTTGAGGATTCAATGGGCTGGAATATTGGCTAATGGGATGGCAGATATTGTATCCAAGCAAGGGATAAATATGGATTACATTGGGCTCAGTTCTAATTTGATTTTTAGTTTAAATGATTTAGATATGTGAGAGGTTGCACCTAGGTGTGGCAAATGAGTGGGTTGGGTTGGGCGTGGGTTGCATCTGGATTACCCCCGGAGGACGCCACATGGGAGCCTTACCTTCAGCTCCAGGACAGATTCCCCAATTTGAACCTTGAGGGCAAGGTCAATCTCAAGGGGGAAGGGACTGTTGGGACCAGCCCAGCCCAGCCCAGTCCAAGGTCAGCTCAGGCCCAGCTCGAAAGGATGCAGCATACCCCCCTAAAGGAATGAAGAAGTTTGTTAGAAGGAACAGAGCACTGAAGACCACGTCAACAGATCCCCTGTCAGAAACGGTTTCAATAAGAATGATTTCGCATGGGAATAGCTTCGAGCCAGCTATATGAGGCTCCAGTTTTGTATGGATGGACATAGTGAATTAATATCATCGTTACCTATCTTGTTCTCTGACTTTCTGCTTCCCACCTTCTTCTTCTTTCCCCATTTCTCTGTTTCAGGAGGGCGAGTCTCCCTCGAAGAGACTTCCGAGGTAGGCGGTTCCTACCATTCGGCAAGGAATGAAATTGAACAGAGTCATTAAAGGAATTTGGGGTAATCCAATACCACCAAGGACTGGAGCATTTGCTTGGATTGTGCCTCTCTTTGGGGTGCTTGTAACTTTTCTTATATTTTGGTAATAAAATAACTTTTCAATCATAAAAAAAATCTAATTACACAAAATCACTTAAAGAATAGAGGTTTTCAGTTGGGCTATGGGTGTTATTTGTGTGAAGTGAATGAAGAATTATGCTTTACATCTATGCTTTGGTTGCCCTTTTATAAAGTTTCTATGGGATTAATTCTTTTGGCTTTTCAGAATAAACATATGGAATCCTTGTAGCTCTAATGTAGGCGAGTTTATCAAGGCAGCATGAAGGCTTTCTTTTTGAGCTGCATTCTATTTGTGATCTACACTAGTTAAAGATGAAATGACTAAACATATTTAGGAGAAGTCCTATTGGTGCTTGTTTGCTGATGCCATTGTTTTACTGATGAAACTAACAAAGGATTAAATGCAAAACTTAAGATTATGAACAAATACCTTAGGAACAAGAGGTTTTAAAATATGTAGGACACAAACAGAAAATATGCTATGTAAATTTGATGCTAATAATAATAGGAGTACAGATTAGGTACACTTGGGATTGGGAATTAGAAGGGTGATGTTATTTAACAAGGCACTCCTAGGGAAATGGCCATTGAGGTTTGGGAGTGAAAGGGAGGCTTTGTGGAGAAGGGTGGTGGAATGCAAATATAGGGTGATTGGGTTTGGGTGGGATTTCAAGGAAGTGAAATTGTCTTATGGAGTGTGCATCTGGAAGGGTATAATGCCTTTCTAGTAAGCTTTTCTTAATTATGTATCCTTCAGAGTTGGAGATGTCTCAACAATAAAATTTTGGGAGGATGGCTAGATGGGAGTTGGGAAGTTATGTGATCTTTGCCCATGTTTGTACAGACCGAGTAAGGACACCTCTATAGCAGTGAGTTTTGAAACCAAGGTAGGGTAACATGGTGCCCAAACTTTAGAAGACCTCATTTTGTTTAGGAAATTGGGGAATGTGTGGAATTTCTTTCAAAATTAGAATCAGCTGAGGTGCAAGTGGAAAGGAAAGACTCAAGATGGTGGAAAGAGTCCAGCAATTGGGGAAACCCTTTGCAAAGGAACCAGATAGAAAGATCTGAAGTAAAAGAAGTTTGGGGAAACCATTTATCACATAGAGTGGAATCTTTTGCTTGGCTAGTAGCTATGGACAGCATCTTGACAATAGATCATATTTAGAGTAGAGGTATTCACTTAGCCAAAAGATGCTACTCCAAAAGTGAATGTCCTTCATCTGTTTGTTGGTTGTCCCTCTACACGAAATTTTTATGAGGCTTCTTCTTTGGTCTATTTAATGCTAGATGGGTGAAACCAAGATCTCCAGGATACATCTTTGCTCGATGGCCAACTATGAGAAGAAACATCAAGGTTAAGAAAGGAAAGAAACAAAAGAATTTTTGAGAACAAGGCTAACAGAAGAGATCAAGTCACTCTCGTGTGGAAAGAGGATAATGGATTCAGACACCATACTTTTAGAGTTGATAGCTCTACTTCTTTTTGTTCTTTTTTCTTATGTACAAGCTTTTTGATTTTGGAGTTTATTTTGTGGTGACCTCTCATCACCCTAGCTGCTGTACTCTTTTTTATTTTTTATTAAAATTTTAATTTTTTATTTACTACCATAAAATGTGACTTTTCCCATAATTTGATTTGAAAATGGAGGGGTACATATGGACTGTTATGTGATAGTTAAATATCAAGAAATATGTCCAAGAAATGTGTGGCAAAAATGCGTATGTTAAGAGTGGAAAAACTAGAATGGTTTAATTTATCAAAAAAAAAAAACTAGAATGGTTTAGGTCAGAAATGAAGTCATTCGAAGGAACCTAGGAGTAGCTCCAATAGGTGATAAAATGAGAGTACAGTAAGATGGTTTGGTCACTTGCACAGAAGACCATCTATGACACCTATATGAATAAGTGATATGTTGGAAGTTTAAAGGGATAGAAGGGCTACACAGACCAAAAAGGCATTGGTTGAAGTAGTAAGACATGATTTAAGCACTCATAATTTAACAATGGATATGGCACTAAACAGAAATGATGACAAAACACAATTCTTGTAGTTGATGCCATATTGTTGGGATAAGGCATAGATGATGATGATGATGATTTTATTTGCAATCTGCTTGGAGGTTTGGTAGGAAAAGACAAGGAAGAATTTTCAAAGGAAAAATTAAATGAAAGGAGTAGCTTTAGGGCTTGTTCTTTTGCGCTGAACTCTGACATCTGAAGGTATTCCTTTCTTGAGAATTCGTTGATTTAAGGTTGCCCGGACACTTTATGTTTATATGAGCCAGGCTTCCTCTGTATAATGCGAGGGGTAAGGCTTCACGTCCCCCCCTCCAAGGCTTTTTGCATATCAATAAAGTTTCGGTGGCCACCCCTCCACTGGGAGTAAATTTTGGGGTTTAAAAAAAAAACTCTGACATCTGAGTGCCTCTAAAAACTGTACTAATTAATTTTAGACGTACATTGGAGTTGGTGAACTTTTCTTGGTGCTGATATCTAAACGTAGAGAATGTTGTTATGAAATCTGAATGCTGAGTTCTCAAAACTGATAATTAACCATTTTAACCCTGGATATGATCATATGAGAAAGTTTGTTTAACTATTTAATAAACTAATTAACAGTTACTTAAATGAGTACATAATGATTCATAAATAATGGATTTGAGAATTGAGCATTTAATAATTAATTATTTAAAATAAATAATTACATAAATATTTATTATTATGTATTTAAAATAATTATGTCATTATTAATAAATTATTAATTTTTTAATTTAATAAGAACACAACTAGTAATTATAAATAATTGAACAGATAATAATAATTAAACGTAAGTAAATAATTAATATAACTGCAAAATTAAAAATAATATCCCATATGATTATTATAATTGATTAATGATTTGTAAACATTGTAATAAAAAAATATAATAAGTAAAAAAGAGATAGTAATAAATAATAATTATTAGAAAACCTAAAAATAATTAAATAATCATTTATAATGATAAAATAAAATAATAATAAAAATATGAAGTATTTATTTTATCATTAGATAAATAAAATAGATTATTAAATTAGTATTTTAATAAATATATAACTAGTGGGGTAAGGTTGAGGGGGCCTCTGATTTGTAATGTTTGTTTTTATTTTTCTGTTGGGTGATCTCTCATCACCTGGTGTCTTTTTTTACTTATTATTAAAAAAATGGCTAAGTCCTACTCCAACATACATAATATATATTTATATATAGATAAAAATTTAAAAACTATATGCATATATAATAATTTATACGTGCATACACTTAGGCAATCATTTATAAAATATACTATATAATATATTCTTTAAGGTTCATGCCTTGCCTCTCAAACACCCAACTGCCTAGTGTCTGTGTTTAGTCTTTCAAAACCTTGCTTTAATCAATTCATCCATAACTAGTGCAATCAAATAAGAGCTACATGCTAATCTTTGGTTTTTGGTAAGTCCCACTGTAGGTCTGTAACTGGAAACCATGATGTTCTCTCCTACAAGCTTTCTTGGTTGGGACACCCTCATACATGCTTTAATAGGCCCAAGTATGTGCTTGGTACTTATGATATTTGGATAGCTTTACAAGGGTTTTGTATTGTGTCTGTTACTTCAGTTTTCCAGTATAATTTTTGTGCTCAATACTTTATTGTGCCATGTGCTTACCATATATGGGTAACCTAGCTTGATATTCCCTATTTTTCCAAAACCCACCATATTTCCTTTCTAGGGAATTTTATGTGCTTTCCATATCAATCAATACTATGTGAAGATCTCTCTTCTTTTCCTTGAACTTTTCTATCAATCATCTCAATGAAAAGATAGATTCGGTTGGTTGATCTCATCAGACTGCAGTCTTCAAGATGAGAACTCTAATTTGCAATTTGGGATTTTAACAATATTTAGAGCAACTGTGATAAACTCATACATTGTGAACGAATTTCACAAACCAAGAATTTATTTATTTAGGGTTTCTATCCAATCCATGGAATCTGGACATTTGATCATGGACTTTCTTTCTGATAGCTGTATGGTTTGGTTGCAGCTTTATTTCATAAATAGTGTGAAAATGCCTAGTTTTATTTACCATGCTTTTTGAAAATTCTCATTTTGCACTTGTGCATACTAAAAATTATTACTACATATGATGGTCATACTCTTCCTAGCTGAAAATTTCACTCCTGTAGGCTTGATTATCATCTAGGGCATATATTCTTAACTTGAAAGTTCTGAAATGAAAAGGAACCCACTCTTCCATATTGTTGTGTTTTCCATGTATAGTGTTTCATTTCTCTGAATTGCTGATTCTTGATCTTTTTATCCTATTTGAAGCCTAACAATATTTTCAGATTCTAGAAATCTACAAGGAAGCCAAAGTTGGATTTGGTGCTGCTCACAACATTAAATCATCAATTGCAAAAGCCGTCTTTGACTGTCCTTTTCTTGGTGGTGGCATAAGGGTAGGAGTTTGTTCCTGATGAGATCAACACAGTTTTCTCTATAGTAAATATTTCCTTAAATAAGATTTCTGTTATTGTGAATTTGGTATCTACTATTGATGTATCACAAAACTAGATAAAAACTAGTTGTATGTTTTATAGTACATTATTTGAAGCTTGCTCTGGTTTATAGAAAGGAAGTTTTCATTAAGGAAAGAGAGCACTCATCTTAGTCTCTTAGATGATTATAATACCAAAATATCAATAATATTTCAAGCTTCTCAAATTGCAGTACACTTTTCCCTACTCAGAACATAAGAATCAAAACAAATAGACCTGATTAGCAATGGTGGAAACATCGATTTGCCAATCCCCTAATCTGATTGCATCAATAAAACCGAGGTGGTGCTTTTTTGAGAGAAACATTACGGGAGTATTTGATTAGTACATGTCCAAATGCTGAGCAAGGATTCCTTAGCCACACTGGTCTGATGTATACCATAGTTGTCAAGGCGATGTCTAGGCGGGCGCCTAGGTGACACCTAGGCGACATGGAGCCCTTTGAGGCTCGCCTTGCCTAATCGCCAAGCAATTTTCTACTTCCTACTATAAAATACTTTTTTATTCATTCTTTTTTGAGATTATAATTATAAAATAAACATTATTAAACTAAAATAATCATTTTGTTTGTTTATATACTAATTTCTTTTTATTATTTTCTTATTTATTAGGGTTTAATCAACACAAACATTGCTAAATGCTGTGTTGAACCCTCAAAGACTTGAAAACCTGAACCAATAAGTAGGGAAGAACTTAATTTTATCTAATCAGCACATTTTCCTCTTCCATATATTCTTCTTCTACATCTTCTTCTTCTTCTACTACTACTACTACTACTACTACTACTACTACTACTACCACCACCAATACTTTTTGCCTTCTTCTTTTCCTATAACAAATAAGGTTTCAGCCCCTATATTTTTTTGAATTTTATTTTCCTTCTTCCTTTTCTTCTCATGAATATATTGATTTTCTATACTTTAATATGAAATTTATATTTTTCTTATGAAAATAATGAATAATTATTAAAGAAATATGGTTATGGTACCTAGGGAACTACCCTAGGATCTATGTTTTTAACATAAAATAATCCATCACCTAGGCGATGCCTAGGCGCCCGCCTAGGTGACTAGGCGACAAGGTGCCCCCCAATCGCCTAGCCTCGCCTTGGCACCTTGAAAACTATGATGTATACCCTAGCTCAAGGTAAAGAGAATAGGTAGAAAGTTATGCCTGAGAATTCCATTGTCGATCTACTCTAGTTACTGTAAAAGAACAAGGGAGATCAAAATACAAGCAGGAGAGCTCCAAGGATTCTGGGGGCAATGAAGTAAAAGAGGGTTAATAATATTTTAATTTGCTAAAACATATTAAGGCTTTCAGAGCATAGTCTCATAAAACTTTCAGAGCACAGTGCAGAAAACTAAAGGTAAACTTCCACTTAGTAGATCACCCACTCCATTCCAGTTGAGATATGCTGCTGTTGTGGGCTCTAATGGATAACTTGAGCATGCTCCTATACCATATCAAGTTTGCACAAACTTGTGTTTAATAGATAAGAAAGCAGGAAATGCAAAACAAGATTCTTGGTCAGTCAAAAACATTTCCCCACAGTTGCTGAAATAACCTAGAGAGGAGCAAAAATGATATAAAAGAAAATAAGAGAAATAATGACTATATACAAGAAGATACATATTTACCCTAATATGATACAAAATCAACCTTCTGTTACATTTTCTTAGTGCTATCTTCTGAAATTTGTCCACATGATTGCATATAGTAAATTAAATCCTGTTTCTGTTTAAAGCTTTGTTGTATTACCTTTTTTTATCAATAACTGAATCAATTCATTATATTCTTAAAAAGAAAGAAGGTACAATAAAAACAAGAAAAAGGGAGGGATAATCTCTCTTAGCCCTCCCCACCAAAAAACCAACTTACAACAGAACCCAAAACATGGTACCCCTTCCCACCCCTTGTTTAGCAAGTACAGCATCAAAGGAGTTGGCACTTTGCTTTACCCGTTGAAGCTTCACTTCCATGTTCTGTGTCAGCCATATAAATCTTCTTTTTTTTTTTTTCGTTAATAAAAGTTCAGAAAACATTTTCCTCTTGTAAGCCAATTAATCACCAGCTTGGAGTGATCCTCATCTACTAGCTTTCTGACATTTAGGTCCTTTAGCTTTCTGACATTTAGGTCCTTTGCCCTTTGCACTCCTTCCAAACAGCTATAATCTCTGCTTGAGTGAATCACCTGTACTTATTGGTCCTGAGAATAATGCAACAACTTTTCCTTCTTCATTTCTGAATACACCTCCAATGCCTGAAGGACCCGGATTACCCTCACTACTTCCACCAAAATTCAGCTTAATGAAACCTTCCACTGGTGGGGACCAAAGAGGCCTGGCTTCTGCCTTAAACAGATCTGAATCAGCCACTTCCTTCCAATTACCAAGCAATGCATCTCTAGATATACTTTCAAACTGCTCCAATGACTTTGTTGTATTGCCTTCTATGCTTAACTCTTGATTCATGTGGAATATCATTCATATGCTGCATGGTAGTAAATTTCTATGTTGTTTAGTAAATGAGCAGCATGCCAGTGCTGGTGACCACATAATGGCAATAAAATGTTCCCATTGCACTTAGAAACATATGAAACTGAGTTGTTCTAAATGAAATCATAGAAGCAAAAATTGTTCTGCATATATTTATTCATCATAACAACTTAGGGGAAAAACAAACAATACTATGAGCTAATACAATGACCACTAGATTGTTTTACACGTGCATTTAAGATTGTTTCTTTCTTAATATTGGTATAGTCTGTTATATCATTTGGTAAATTCTCGGTTTTCATAATAAGTATCAGTAACTTGGCATCTGCTATAGTCTTCCTACTACCTATTGCTGTTCTTTGAGATACAGGAGTCGAATGGCTTGGCTATTTGCACCATTGCCAGTGCAGTTGATATGGACAGTAGCTATCTGCATTCTTTCTTGCACACTTTCCGTGAGACTACACAATGCACAAGGGATATCATAATCTCTATGGTTCATGAACCAAAAATGGAGCCAAACCTTATAGTAACAACAGTTATGGTTTTAAGGTAAGAATATTTTGGTATAGTCAGTATAATGATTCATAAACTCTTTACTTATTACCATCTAATGGTACTATTTCTCTGTTATTCTATTATTTTATTACCATCTAATGGTACTATTTCTCTGTTATTCTATTATTTTTCTGTTCTCATATTATTGGAAACAATGGCATTTCTATTGGTTCCTTCTCTGTCTTGCATAATGAATGGTCTAGGTGGGAGAAGCTTTCTGATTTATACATTTATACCAGAGACTTAGTAAGGCCATTGCTTGATGGGAAAAGTGTCTTAGGCAGCATTACCAGGAAAAGGAGGTTGTTATGTGTAGAGAGACTGGGCCGAATGGGCCCTAGCTCATTTGTGTCTTTCTTATTAGTTCTTTCATGTTATGTTTTCTTATTGGACCTTTTCTTTATGGGCCTTTAGCTCTTATTTATGTTTTATATGTTTAGTGCTGATGTGGACGCCTACTTAAGGGCCTCCTTGTAATTTATGTAACTTAAGTAAGTTTAATAAAAGATTAGAGTAGGGGAAAGAGGAGATATTCGAACTCCTCCTTTCTTTCTCCTTTCTTCTCCAATCTTCCTCCTTCTTACTGTCTCCTTCTTCTCTGATTTCTTTTGCTTTATTCTGAAATATTCTACTGATTTTATTGGTTTGAATCACATCTTGGTATTAGAGCAGGTCTCTCTTCCGTTTTTCCTTTTTTTCCTTTTTTCCCATACACCTTTTTCCTAATCGAAAGGTGTATGGAGAGATAAATTGCTGATTATTTAGAGATCTTGTTTGCCTAGTTGGTAGAGGGTTTGGAGAGGCAGAAGCTGGTTGAAGATTCCCAAAACCCTAGCCAACTAGAGAATTTCCAGATATGGGTTGAAGAGGCTGTTTGGGTGTGGTGCTCAAGGCTTGGAGGGTTCCTTTTTATCTCCAAAAGTGGGTGGCTGCAGTTGGAAGTGGTTTGGGTAGCTCTGGTTTTAGCGGCTACCTCTTCTCTCTTTCTCCCCAGAGGCCAGGTACGGTGAAACCCTAGTTTTGGGGCTTTTGAGTGCTTAACTGACCTTAGTTAGGTCTATAAAGGTTAAAAACATTGTTTTTTGATTTTTCATTTGATTGATGGAGCAATCTGGAAGTGAGGTGAAGCAGATCCTGGTGTCGGGGGTTGGTTCCGTAGATTCCTTTTTGACAAGAGTGACTACAATTAAACTTGATAGAACAAATTACCTTGCGTGTGCACAATCTATTAAGATCCATGTCTATAGTAGAGGTAAACTAGGGTTTCTAACGGGTAGTAAGGCGATGCTGGATGAGTTTGACCTTACATATGAGAAATGGATGCAAGATAACTACACAGTTATTGGGTGGTTGGTAAATTCTATGCAGCCCCATGTAAGTCAGCACTACTATCTGTGGATGACTTCAGCCAAGGAGATTTGGGATAGTGTGACAGAGACATACTCTCAGAAATTAAATGTTGCCAAGGGCCTACAAACTAAAGAGTGATTTGTAGAATTTAAAATAGGGGGAGAAGAGTGTGGCTGTCTATTATTCGATGTCGAAGTCACTATGGCAGGAGTTGGATGTTATGGAAGCATTTGTATGGAAAAGCACCAAAGATGCCGAAACATTCAGGAAATTTGTGGAAAGAGACAGGGTGTTTGAGTTCCTTACTGGACTCAATCCTGAATTTGATATTGCAAGGCAAAATATCTTGGCCAAGGATGATGTGTCACTTGCACAGGCACACTCTGGTGAGCAGTGAAGAGAGCAGGCGATGGGCACATGCTGGAATAAAACCAAAGGGGCTAAATGAGAAAAAGGAAGTGATATGTGAATACTGCAAGAAGCCGAAACATACTAAGGATTCTTGTTAGAAGCTTCGTCCAGATCTTCTTCCTGAGAGGTTTCGGAACAACAACAGCTCTAAGAAGGGTGGCCAGTCTGGAAAACCCAAGAATGCAAATGTTGCCACAGTATCTAAATGTGAAGAAAAATTTGTTGTGGAACATTTGGCAGTAGTGAAGGTAGAATTTGAGAGATATGGGAAGTTGATAAATCACTTGGAGTCTATTGTTGCATCTTCCTCCTCAGCCCCCGCCTCTACATCCGCTTTTGCCCATTTAGGTATTCGTGCTTCTGCAAATCATGCTACAGTCGCAGGTAATCGTAGAATTCCTTGGGTCATGGATTCTGGTGCATTACACCATATGACTACCAACTCCTCTCGAGTAGAGAAAAGATTTCTCTTGCTGATGGGTCTCTTACTCCCATCTCTGGCAAGGGGAATATTAAAGCCTCTGATTCACTTGTATTATCCTCTGTCCTTCATGTTCCCAAACTTAGCACTAACCTTTTATCTGTTAGTAGTTTAACCAAATCAATGAATTGCAGGATAACCTTCTTTCCTACTTATTGTGTTTTTCAGGACCTGAAGTCTCAGAGGACGATTGGAAGTGGCCATGAGACGAATGGGATATACTTGTTAGATGTCTCTAATCAAAGTCCTGGATTACCTAGTGGAGTTGCTTTGGAGTCTGTTTTATCAGAGTCAGTTAATAGAGTCATGATATGTCATTTCAGATTTGGTCATTTGTCTTTTTCAGCTTTGAGTCGTTTGTTTCTAGAAATGTTTAAGGGAATATCCCTATCGAGTCTTCATTGTGAGTCATGTGAACTTGCTAAATATTGTAGACAATTTTTTTCAGTGAGTAATAAAAGATCTGTTTCTCCTTTCCATATTGTGCACTCTGATGTGTGGGGGCCATATCATTTACCTGCTATGGGGGGCTACAAATATTTCACTCTTTTCATTGATGATTTCTCTCGTTACACATGGATTTACCTTATGAAATCCCGGGATGAAGTACCAAATATTGTACAAAAGTTTCATGAACTTATACTTACCCAGTTTAACACTCGAATCAAAATATTCCGATCTGATAATGCAAAGGAATATTTTAAGAAGAGTCTCTCCTCCTACTTTGATACCTTTGGAGTTATTCATCAGAGTTCTTGTTCCTACACTCCTCAACAAAACAGAGTGGTGGAAAGGAAAAATAGACATGTGGTTGAGGTTGCGAGGTGCCTTCTTTTTGCTTCCCATCCTCCTGTTAAATTTTGGGGTGATGCTGTTCTTACAGCTACATACTTGATAAACTGAATGCCTTCTCGCGTTCTGGGGTTTAAAACTCTCTTTAGCTTGCTTTTTTCCAAATGAGGATATGTTTTCTCTTCCTCCCAGGGTGTTTGGGTGCACTTGCTATGTCCATGTTCATGTTCACAGTCATCAAAGACATAAGTTTGAGACTAAAGCACACAAGTGTGTCTTTTTGGGATATGCCTCCACACAAAAGGGGTACTGTTGTTTTGATCAATTCGTGGCACTCGCTTTGTTTCTAGAGATGTCACATTTGTAGAGTCAGACCCTTTCTTTGGTACTTCTCTTGAGAGGGAGCATTCAAACTAGTTGTTTGCATTGTCACCATCTGTTCCTCTTCCAATTCCCATTGAATCTTATATAGAGTCTCCTCCAGTTAAGTCATTTATCTCTGCTCCCCCTCTTCCTCCTACTCATCCCCCTTCTTTCCTTTCTCATCCTATTAACTAGAGGTGGTACCAGAGACAAAGACTCAGAGACATGCAAGTTGTTTCCATGCTTTCAGATGTGCCTCTTGCTCCTCCCATCACTACTAAGATAACAGGTCAGCCCTCTTCTACCACTTCGGATACCTTCCCTGATCTTGATCTCCCTATTGCCCTTCACAAAGGCAAACGGAAATGCACAACTCATTGTATTTCTAAACACCTGTCTTACAACCTCCTTTCCCCTTCCTACTATTCCTTCCTTGCCTCTGTTTCCACACATGTAACTCCCCAGTCTGTCCTAGATGCCTTGTCCAAACCAGAATGGAGAGATGCTATGATGATTGAACTATATGCTTTGCATAAGAACAATACTTGGAAAATTGTGGATTTGCCTGAGGGAAAGGAACCAGTTGGCTGTAAGTGGGTGTTCACTATTAAGTATCATTCTGATGGTACTGTTAAGAGATATAAGGCCCGTTTGGTTGCTAAAGGATATACTCAGATGTATGGTATTGACTACTTAGAAACTTTTGCCCCAGTAGCCAAGATGACTTTAGTTCGAGTTTTGCTATCTTTAGCTACTGCTTTTGACTGGCCTCTTCATTAGTTTGATGTAAAGAATGCCTTTTTGAATGGGGACCTAAATGAAGAGGTCTATATGTCTTTACCTCCAGGGGTGTATGAGAAGGAGATGCAAAGAAAGGTCTGTAAACTGAAGAAGTCTCTTTATGGCCTTAAGCAGTCTCCTAGAGCCTGGTTTGATAGATTTTAGGCTGCTCTTGTTGCTTTTGGGTACACACATATTCAGTCAGATCATACTTTGTTTGTTAAGAGGAGAGATTCCTTAGTGACCCTCCTGATTGTCTGTGTTGATGATATTGTGGTTACAGGAAATGATACTCAAGAAGTTGTTCATCTCAAGAGTTTTCTTAACACTGAGTTTGAAATTAAAGACTTGGGAGAACTCAAATATTTCTTGGGAATTGAAGTTGCCAGATCTAAGGATGGTATCTTCATTTCTCAACGGAAGTATGTTCTCGATCTTCTTGCAGAGACTGGGAAACTGGGGGCTCGACCTGCTTCTACTCCTATTGACCTAAATCATAAGTTGTCAACGATTGAAGGTGAACTGTTGCCTAATAAGGGGGTGTTCAGAGACTGGTTGGGAAGTTACTTTACCTTTGCATGACTCGGCCAGATATTTCATATGTAGTTAGTGTAATAAGGCAGTTTATGCATTCTCCTAGAGATACACATTTAGCAACTGCTGAGAGAGTTCTATGCTATCTAAAATGGACTTCAAGGAAAGGTATCTTGTTTGCTAAGCATGGACACATGAAACTGGAAGCATACACTGATGCTGACTGGGCCGGATGTATTGATGATAGGTCTACTTTAGGTTACTATGCTATGGTAGCAGGGAA